TCCATAAAAAGTAACTAAGTAACGTAATTAGTTACTTTTTTTATGGAGTAACGCAATATTGTAATGCATTACTTTTAAAAGTAACTTTCCCCAACACTGAACATGAGCATCATATTCTTGTTCATGACCATTCACATATATGCCAGATACAATTTTCATAACCTTCTTTATAGTGTTTATAGTAGATTTCCTAGTAACCTATAAACAGATGTCCAGTTAGAACCCAGATTCAGTCTCAAATGTATCAAATGTAAAATATTGTATCAATGCATTCTATGGCACCTTTAATGTTCTTTCTTTCTTTCTTTTCTAATGGGCGGGGTATCAAATGTAAAAAAGGGACATCTGTCACAACGAGTTAATTCCAATATAACAATACTCTATAGTAATTATATATGTATACTCCATTACTCCCTGAATTGGATCATAATTCAGTCTATTACAATTGTTATGTTATTTACTGGCAAAGACATGACAGAGAGATATGTCAGCGGTGTCAAAGTCTGTCACCTCTGTACCATTTCCATTTGTGAGTGTGACACATCTGGAAATATTTTGTAGCTATAGTTTTAGGAGAATTCTGTCACACACACACACACACACACACACACACACACACACACACACACACACACACACACATATATCATATGAATCTGATATGACACAGTCGGTTGTTATGGTACATAACTGTAGGCTATAGCATTGGTATAAAGAAATTAGGATGTAGTCACATGATTCATATCCCGGAAATACACTGCTGTCGATGGGGGAAAATGGCGTTATGAGCAGCTCTAGACTGTAACAGAAGTGGGGCAGAAGAGTCAAGAGACAACAATGATTAACCCGCGTTTCTCGGTTTACCAAATGACAGAAACGCCTAACCTGACATTAGCCTAGACATAGAGTTGCACACTCGATTATGTAAGGGCGCTTCACAGATGGACAAAGACAGACTCGCAGTGAGTACATGCCAAAATAAACACGAGGAAGTAGCCTTAAAAGGGGCGTGTAATGTGTTTCATGGCTTTGAGAAATACCAAAGGCGACAAAAACGCAGATGGAAGCATTTTATTGGCGTACCTGTAGGCTATGTAACAGCACAGCGATAGGCTACGGATCGATGGAAATGTTTTGCTATTTAGTACGATGTCTCGCTATCGCTTACCGTACGCTTAACGCTTGTATCATGGCATCTTGTTACGCGTACCTAAAGGTGTCATTTTCTCATGATGCGATTTATTCTATGACCTCGTTATCCCATTGCTTGAAGTCATTTATTTATTTTAATCCAGTGTAAAGAAATCTGCATATGGGCCATTCCACCGAATGGGTGCCATTTGCTTCCAAACCTCTTCCAAAAAATAAAATAAAAAATATTTTAATGTTGAACATTGACTAGTGAGCTGATCTCACTGGTAACAAAAAAGAAAAGAAAAGAGAGAGTCATGTTTCTATTTAAATCTAGTGGTCTGCAGAGGTTTTTGTTAGGGTTATGTGTAGGGGTAGAGGACGGGTTATGAAAATAATAATAATGATAAAATATCATTAACCTGATAAAAAAACTAAACCAAAAAAACAATGGAAGTCTATGAGATGTCCTCACTGATATAGTGAAACACGTGTGCTGGTGCGTTTTATGTGTTAAAATATAATTTATTATAATTTATTATTAAATAATAATAACAAAAGTAAAATAGGCCAATGTTAATATGAAGAAATTTTCTGTATTGATTTTTTACATGCCTTTTACCTGTATTTTTAATAACTTGAGGAAAGGCCCATAAACTTAACAAAAAATGCCTTTTCAGTTTTTCTGGACATTGTTTTCTTACACCGCAGGTCACATTCAAACGCCATTCCATGTATGGGTCTAATACATAATTGCCAAAGGACAGAAATTGCAAACACGTGTGCTGGTGCGTTTTATGTGTTAAAATATAATTTATTATAATTTATTATTAAATAATAATAACAAAAGTAAAATAGGCCAATGTTAATATGAAGAAATTTTCTGTATTGATTTTTTACATGCCTTTTACCTGTATTTTTAATAACTTGAGGAAAGGCCCATAAACTTAACAAAAAATGCCTTTTCAGTTTTTCTGGACATTGTTTTCTTACACCGCAGGTCACATTCAAACGCCATTCCATGTATGGGTCTAATACATACTTGCCACAGGACAGAAATTGCAAGTACATTTTCTGTCATACTTGCAGGAATGTAATATAAAACAACAATGCAGGAACAACCACAAGTTTTCTCTGGGCAAAAACGTTGTCTCAGTGTGGCGAGAAGGCCAAAACGTAGAGAAAAAGATGCATTTTCAAATTGATCTAGATTAATATGTATGTAGCCTAATATTTACATTAATAAATCAGATGACACTACTCACTCCTGTTACTGTTACTTAGTTACTATATATGAGTATAGGATATATGAGTATAAGAGTAACAGGGCTGAAAGTAACAGGATTGAGATTTTAAATGAGCAAATACATATAATATAGCCACATGGAGTAATATCAAAACTTAATTTTTGATTAGTAATATGCATTGCTAAGAACTTAATTTTGGACAACTTTAAAGATGATTTTCTCAATATTTAGATTTTTTTGCACCCTCAGATTCCAGATTTTCAAATAGTTGTATCTCGGTCAAATATTGTCCGATCTTAACAAACCATATATCAATGGAAAGAGTATTTATTCAGCTTTCAGATGATGTATCTCAATTGAAATAAAAAAATTGACCCTTATGACTGGTTTTGTGGTCCAAGGTCACAAATTAACAAAATAGCATGTTTGAAGTTGAATAAAAAAGTGGGAGCCTGCAGCATCATGAGTGGAAACCCATTTGAGATGCATGCACCAGGTGTAAATGTCAACTTGTACACAAATACAGCTCCACGTGATCTCACTTCAGATGCATGTTGTTTGTCGTGTTTTCAGGTGACAGAGGAGACGGCGCAGGTGGCTCAAAGGCTGGGCTTCAGCGTGACTCTGAGAGGAGCGATCCACGTGAAGGGCAAAGGACAGCTGAGCACGTACTTCATCAACACCGAGCACTCAGAGCAGTGACCACAGCATCAGAGACGAGTGTTTCACTGAGGTCCTCTGCGGCATCAGCCTGATAGTGCTGGCGCTACAAGAACTCAGCTACTTAGCACTTAGATTTAACCAATTCTAGTACTTCTAAAAATGAAGGAAGATTAGCGTCTGTTGTTCTTTTTGAAGAGGTTTAAGTCTTTTGTTTTTTTTTAAACAATGCAAAGTTGGCAGGTTTTCTAAAGTCTTTAGTTTTATATTGAATTTCTTGTATTTTCCTTAACTTGCGCACTTATTTATTAATGGTTATTAATGTGTATTTAATATTTTGTATGTTTAATGTGAAAAGTTAAAGTCTATAATATTATGCATAAAAATGTTTCTTAAAAAAAACTTGTTTGTTGTGTTTAAAATGTAACCATTTTTGTGACTACGAAAGTAGAATCTAATAAAATGTCTGACTTAAAAGTGACTTTTGATCCATTCCAATGAATGGGTGCCATTTGCTTCCAAAACTCTTCCAAAAAAATTTTTTATCTTTTTTTTAAGACTGAATCTAGCAATACACATAATTAACTATTCAAAATCTGTACTGGTCAATCTCAGGTAACTTTATTTAATTTTTTACACGGTTTTTAAGTGGAAGATGGATGCATTTTTCTCAGTCCTGTTACCAAAACTCTTGTGTCTTTTAAAAAAGAATGTTTAAAAATATGTCATGACACAAGGCGACTCGAACCTTATCTTAAACCTTATTATAAAGCTTATCAGTTTTCTATGATGCAATTTATTAAACAATGGGATAAATGATGGACCAAACTTAATTTTAAAAATAGTGGTTTAACTTTTTTTTTTTTAAGAAAAAACTTTAGTAACAGGAATGAAACTGGGTAACAGGAATGAGTATCCATTATATGTGTATATAGGTTTGAGTACACTTTGTATTGATTTTTAACACATCTTTTACCTGTATTTTTAATAACTCGAGGAAAGGCCCATAAACTGAACAAAAAATGCCTTTTCAGTTTTTCTGTGGATATTGTTTTCTTACAGCTCAGGTCACACTAAAACGCCACTCCATGTATGGGTCTAATACATACTTGCCACAGGACAGAAATTGCAAGTACATTTTCTGTCATACTTGCAGGAATGTAATATAAAACAACAATGCAGGAACAACCACAAGTTTTCTCTGGGCAAAAACGTTGTCTCAGTGTGGCGAGAAGGCCAAAACGTAGAGAAAAAGATGCATTTTCAAATTGATCTAGATTAATATGTATGTAGCCTAATATTTACATTAATAAATCAGATGACACTACTCACTCCTGTTACTGTTACTTAGTTACTATATATGAGTATAGGATATATGAGTATAAGAGTAACAGGGCTGAAAGTAACAGGATTGAGATTTTAAATGAGCAAATACATATAATATAGCCACATGGAGTACATGCTAATATTATGAGGATACTCAGCAAATTATAGTGTTTCACCAAATATTTGTATTTTTAAAATAAACAAGAAATATCTAAGAAATAATTTAGGTAACAGGACAGTATGTTAATATTGACACTCCCAGTCATCTTTACAATATCATCAAATATGCAGAAAAGAAAATGGGACCATATGCTTTAGGTCATTTCATTGCCTTTAGAAGATCCAGATGTTGCAATATCATGTTGAAAATTGTGGAATTTTCCCAGTTTTTCAGAGGGTGGAATGTGTTAGGGTAACAGGACTGAGTGAAAACCTGGGGACACGACTAAAAAGTGTATTTTATCTAAAATATTATAGATTTATTTTGAAATAAATGTATTTAAAGCACAGATGGGATGTGGAGGTACAAAAATGCTAAATAAAAATGACTTCTGAATGATTTTAAATATTTCATGTTAAAATGTTGTGTTAGAGACTGGGGACATGTAACAAACGCTATGCTTTCAGTGTTTTAGGTAGTTTATACTAACTTTTTAAAATGATATATTTTAAATTTACAGTTAGATTAATGTGCAGGACACTTTGCTTAATAATAAAATATATTTTATAGTTACTTTTCATGCATAATTGTACATATAATGTCCTGGGGACAGAAATGGCACCCATTCGGTGGAATGGCCCATATGCAGCAATGTGACATTCATATATTTAAACATGATATGATATATTATAATTATATTATACTATATATTATATTATCTTATATTAAACTTATTTTACAGTATTTACAACTAATATTATACAATGGATATTATTTAATGCAGGCTGGTCCATGCTCATGGCTGGATATGCAGAATTTTATTGGTGACCTTATGGCTGCGAATGCTTCAGTCACTGGACATCCACTGAGAGAGCAACGTACTGAGGAGACAGTGAGTTCTGCTTGGCTCAAAGTCTCTCATCCTCCCCAGTCCACCCCATCCAGACAGAGCCGGGTGAAAAGTGCTGTTCAGTTTGGTCTGCATTCTGAGGAAAGGGAAAGGGAACTCAGACACCATGAAAGCAATGGTGAGTATATTAAAATAGACTGTAAGGTTGCTGTACCGCTGTGTTATAAATACCCTTTATTCTCATGAAATAGGATTGGGAAACATGCAGAATTGATTGATTCCTGGTAACAGTTTCAATTCTTTTAGTACTTCAGAAGCATTTACTTATTGCATCTACTTGCCTCTGAAGCCTGTTGCCAAATGATGAGATTATTTTAGATTTCAGCAGAACAGATACTGCACATAAAAATACATTTATAAATTTAATATATATTAAAATACATTAACAAATTATTCTTGCTGCAGAGGTTGAGTTCACAGGCTTTCTAATGCAGATCAGACACCCCATATGCAATCCAGTCCTAACTCTATATTAATATATATATATTAAGGAAGAGATAATAATTATAATATTATGAGTCAGCAGGTCATTATCATAAAATAAACCCAGAAAGGTTGATTAGAACCTTCTTCTGAATAACAACCGGTTCTCTGTTCCCAACCCTGCCAGGAAATAGTTTAATATTAAGTTTTATCATGTTTATCTATCTTCTACTCACTGCTTCATTGATTTATATTGACTCATTTTCTGCATTCTCATTTCTCTCTTTTGTAGTTCAGCATCGTGCCTGCACATGTTCTGGCTGCCCTCTTTCCTCATCTCCTTCTAGTTCCTCAGTCCACACCCTGAAACCCAGAACCAGCCCAGCCTCACAGATCCAACCTCCTTCGTCTCCCCAATCCACCCCACCGCAGCAGACCAAAGAACCCAGCCCTGCTCCTTTCAGCCTGGGCTTGTGTCTAGGTTTGGGTCTCTCTCTGGAAGAGGAAAACACAGAGCCCAGCAGCACATCTGCTCACCCCCAGCAGGAAGACAAAGGCACTAGCACCCATAGCCCAATCCCTCAGGCAAATTCCGAGTCCCCCGGTGTTCCACCAGTTCAGGCCTTTGCGTGTCTATGCTGCCACCGTGGGTTTCAAACCTGTAGCCAACTTCTACGCCAACAAAAGGACCCAGAGGCACATGTTTCCCATCACCACTACCATCACCACCACCATCACTGCCCTCTCTCCACCTGCACGTCATGTACGCTCCCGTCCTTTCCTTGCCTGTCCTGTCAGCGCACCTTCCCCACCTGCGCCCAGCTCCTGCGCCATCAGCAGGGCCACACGCAACAGGAGGGCTTGCAGCAGCTCCCATGCATGCACTGCAATGCTTCTTTCCCTCGGCCATCGCAATTGCTGCAGCACCAGCGAACCCAGCATGCATCCAAAGTGGGCGGCTTCCTGTGCGCCGAGTGTGGCCGTGCGTTCAACTCGCATAGCAATCTGCGCATTCACCTCAACGTACACACAGGTGCCCGGCCCTACAGCTGTACCGACTGCGGAAAGAGCTTCAGCCAGTCCGGGGCGCTTAAGATTCACCGGCGAATTCACACCGGAGAGAGGCCGTACACCTGTACTTATTGCGGGAGGGGTTTCCCTCACTTAGCTGGGGTGAGAGCGCATCAGCGAATTCACACGGGGGAGAAACCGTACCGCTGCGGTCAGTGTGGGAAGTGCTTTACTCAGTCCGGGGCTCTGAAGATCCACACTCGCATCCACACCGGCGAGAGGCCTTTCATGTGCGGCCTCTGTGGGAAGAGTTTTTCTAACCGTTCTGGTATTCGCTTTCATCACCGCACGGTTCACGGGATCGTGATGGAGCCCAACTCGGTGGGCAGGCCTAGTCTGGCTGCCTCTGCATCGTCCTCAGTTTCAGATTTCCAGAGAATTCAAGCCTCCGGTCTCAACCAGATCCATCTCCGGGAGATGGAAGAGAGGAGTCCGCCCAGTAAAGTGCAGTTAAGAGGGGATGGGGACAAAGAGGCCCTTCCGTATGCCTGCGAGGACTGCGGTCAGCGTTTTCCAGATGCTCCGTCTAGAAACAGACACCAGACATTGCAGCACTACTCTAAAGAAGAGAGAGAAAAGGAAGAGAGCAGCTCAGACAAAACTATAGATTAGACAAAAACAACAAACATTTCTGACTCCAAAAGAGAGGGAAGATAAAAGCAACTTTAATATGAAATGTTAAAGCAGATGTTGAGCCCATTTGAAACCTGCTGAAATCAGTCCCCTCACACTCTTAAGTCATGATGTAAGAAACATTGTTTGTGTCCAAGAAGCTATAAACTTTAATTGAGAATGCTGTCTAATTTATATCACACATTTAAGCTAAGCTTTTAAAAACGTGCAGTGTACACTACAATCTCCGGGCTCACAGTGTGCTGGACACCAGTATTTTATTTTATTGTCTAGCCATCTGAGATTTTGGTATGAAGATAAAGCTTAGGATCATGATTTTTTGTTAGTATTACAGCACACTGTGAGTGTACTGAATATTGGCACCATTTGTTGTTTGCTTTTGGCATCTGATAGAGCTTTTGGACCAGGAAATGGTGGCGTGTGACGTCAGACTTAACATTCTAGTTTTGATCACGTAAGATTCTTTTACCTGTGATGTGTGCCTCTAAAAAAGTAAAATTGTGACAACCTGTATTGTGAAACCGCACCTTTAAATAAGTAGCTTTGCCTATCAGTATTAAGGTATTTGTGCATAAACATTACCAAACCTGCGCTAGTTTTTCCACCATCGGGCCGAAAGGTTACCAGAAAGCAAAGAGAAGATGGCTTGTTGGCAAAACTCGTGAGTCTCCATGTCACTAAAGCAGTTCTTCAAGCATGATTCTCCTGGCCTGAGGACGGTTAGATAGATGTGCTGAGAAATCCACAAATGGAATGGTTTGTATTTGTACTTTGTACTTAACGCGACTCGTACCACAACTGGTATCACTTACAGCCATTCAGTCTGATAATGGAAAAGTGCTTTATTTTACATTTTAGCACTGTATATTTGTATGTGGGAGTATTTTGCAGTTTTGCAAGTTTTTTTTTTTTTTAAAGCTTATTATATTTCTGTTTAGTTTAACAAACTTCTGATGCTGTTTTGATAATGAACTGGGTCATTAAGAAAAGGTGCTGATTGGAGGGCCGCATGGTGGTTCAGAGGGTAGCATTGTCGCCTCACAGCATGAAGGTCACCAGTTTGAGCCTGAGGCCTTTCTGTGTGGAGTTTGCATGTTCTCTCTGTGTTGCCGTGAGATTCCTCTTGATGCTCTGGTTTCCCCCATAATCCAAAGTCATGCAACATGTTAATTGGAGCAGCTAAACTGTCTGAAGGTGTGAATGTGTGGTGGATTGGCCATCTGTCCGGCCTGTGGCCCAAGATGCTGGGATAGGCCCCAGTATCCCCACATCCCTACAGAGGACAAGCGGATTGAAGAATGGATGAAAATGGTTCCAATTGGTTTCTTAGGTTTTAACTCGAGGTTTTAAGCCTGAAATTGATAGAGCACAGTTCTCTGCTGAAGTAGCAGTGCCCTTCTTCCTGACTGTCTTAATGGAAGCTTGAAAAGCACATGCAAACTAAAAGACAAAATCTTTAGATTCTGGCTTCAAAAGTCAAATATGGCCATCGAGACTATTCATCACACATGCGAGTGTGGTTGTAGAATTAATGTGTTTTTTAAATTAAATGATGCTCTTACCATATTTAAAGTAAATTCAGCTTGTTGTGTGGGGATGAATATTATGACCTTATCAGGATATTTGATGTACGTTCCAGGTGTTGCTTACTGTATTTGTGGTCTCTGCAGGGACTGACAGTACACAAGACTGCATGAAGTGAGTGGCTGCCATTTTTACAATTGGCCAAAGGGTTGTTGTTAAAGATATCTGTAAGTATTATCACTTAGAATTAAAGTTTGGCAACACTATCGGGAAATGAATTGTACATTATTTTTGTGTCCATTTTTTATCTTTAAAATTACACTGTTGATACGTGAACCCTCCTTATGCAGTATTGTGAATGTTGTTGGTCAATGACCTCTCAACCCAGAGCTTCAGATACGTCTTGTACATCTGTGAGTTTAGCTCAAGTCTATATGTGCATTGTGTACACGTCAACAAAATAAAGGTTGATGTACCTTTTTTGGAATTAAAATTTTAAGAGTTTAGAGTTTATATGTTCAACTTTATGACTCTAGTGATACCAGTTTGGTTTACTGGGGTATTCTGTTTTGTTGATTAACTTTTATCTGTAACATTTGTGATTCATTTCAGACCAGAACCCTTGAACCATGTCTTGGGGTTACATATTCTCATTATAAGACATGAAGCTTTGTCTACAACAAACAAGTAGCCCCCTACAGATACATTTCAAAACTACAATTATAATTGCACTTCCTAGAGAATTCACCTTTGCTGAGTCATCTACAGTCACCTGTGATTATCTGAAATTACTGTAAGGTCAATGAACTGTAGACTAGGGAATTTCCATTCTTCCCTACCTTCTGTTCTGCCCTCTTCAAATTTCCTAGGCTATGTATTATTTAATGCCCTACTACTAAGTAAATTAAAACCTGCATGTTTATTATTTTTCTTCCCTCCAGTTCAGTGGCAGTGACCTGGGTCAAGGTTTTTTTTTGTTGTTGTTTTGCTGGTAAGAGAAGATTCAATTTACGCGCATGTAAAGTGTTTCTTTTAAAAATGTATTAGCCTTAACATGACCTTTTGGTATTCACACATAATTTCTTCTATTCAAAGAAACCTTTGCACAGGGATGCATATATATACAAATTACATGCAAAGTATCAAATGTTTACATCGACAGCTCAATGAAATGAAAGGCAAAGAGAATCCATTAACCATAGCTATTCATATAAAGTAAAAAAATCACATAGACCTAGTCTCTCAGCAATAATTAACATCATACCCAGCAGCTGCGGTTGAAATAGCCACGCATTCAGTTTGTTATGAAATGATAGAATGGTAAGGTAAAATTACTTCAAGGATGTCGTGACAAATTTAGGTAGGCTACAATAAACAGTTTTAAATGTATGGAAGATTTCAAACATTTTTTCAGTATCTAAATGTAACGCGTCACCTGTCTTAAAATAGACTTTTTAGAAAGGAATTGTGGTCTCTGAGGAAGTAACCGCAACATTGGCAAATTTAAGTAGTCCTGGCATTATTTATTGCTTTATTGCAGATCACAAAAACGAAACAAAACAAAACATTTAACGTCTTGATAGGCGCCAGAAGAAACGGAAGTGCTTTTTCATTCAATTTCACTCACACCTTCTGAACACTAATTGGGCTAGATACAAGTGACGCATACGCTTATTTGGATGAGGTGTTAGATATGTTTTTGATACCATGGCTTAAGATAGTGTTGTCTCGAAGTAATTTTATAATATGACAGAACAAATAAATGTATTTGAAACATTATATTAGTGCATAGTTGTATCTTTGTAATAAATAGGCTGGTTACAAACCGAACAATAGCACGGTAAATTGTCGTGCATGCTCCACCTTCTTCCGCGCTCATAAATTGTGTTTACAAACTTTCATTTCGACAGAACTTGCTCTCAAACGCAGAAGTCAAGATCCTTCAAAATGAGAGGCTATATTCTCATCACAATCGTGGCGGTCACCTTTCTCCAAAGATCCACAGGTATATAACATTTTGCTTGTTTTTGCAAAACTATTATTTTTAACGCCTTTCACGGTTTCAGCCTAGAATAAATGTTATAATACCAAACTCAATCTGCCAGTATATCTGTAAAAACAAAATAACTAGGGCAGAGCCAAGATGTTACAATTTTATAAAGTAAAAAAAAAAAGTTAAAATTGTTTTTTATTGCATTATTTTTCACTTAGCCTTTTCTTGTATTTCTGGCTGACGTTTACACTAAAGCTTGCACAAACGAAAATGTATCTAAACGTTCCAAATTGCACACCTCAAAATCGAATTAGTCTGAACTATCAATTCTTCAGGGGTAATCCAGGGTACTTTTGCAGTTAAGTGAAAACGAAATTCTTCCTGTTTGCGAAACGTTACAGAGTCACAGAGCCCAAAGCATCATATTAAGCAGAAGATATGTTAAAGAATTTGCCACCTCACCTGTTGCACACTATCTTGACCATCCAGTTAGACAACATTTGAAGGAAACCGTTTTTGTTCAAAAGCACGTTCATGTTTGCTTGAGAATAAGAATGGTTTCATTAATATTGCACGTGAGACTTTAAGGCAAAACATATACCTGTGTTTCTGTATTTATACTATGCTTTACCTTAGTTTGAACAACAGTGCGCATCAGATAGCATGTAAATATGCTTTCTCATGTTCCTGTTGGTGTGCAAACAAAGTATACAGACCAGGAAGTTTAGAAAAAATAGAGCATATTCTGGAATATTACATATAGGCTAGTTACATAAACACATAAGCTGATTTATGTTATAAATATCAGACGAGTGACAAAAAGCAGCTGCCTCCGTATGAGATACTAAACAAATTCTGTTGGGTATCCCGTATGGATGCAATTGTTGCATTATTCTATAAACCTAGTAAATTCGACATTGTTTTGTTTTACTATTCTTACTATTCTTTTGTATTATTTACTGTTCTTCAGCTTCTTTGGAGGTAAACGGTCCATCTGAGCCCATTCTGGAAGGACAGGATGTGACATTGGAGTGTTTGGATACAGAATCCGAGTTGAACATGAGCACAGTGCACTTTGAGAGGTACTCCAAGGTAAGGGCACTTACACACAATGGCAAGGAAAGATCTGTGACACAATGTGCTTTGATGTGCATTTGTCTGTAAATGTCAAGGAAACAGCAGATTGAAACTGAAATGACACCTTGTTTGTCATGGGAATTGAGAAGGGTTTGGGTTATTGTTGCTGTCTGTGCATGTCCTCTGCAGTGCTGCAGGCCTGAATACTGTATAAACAAAAAGTGAGAGATCTAAAATTACAAACAAATCTGTCAGGGACGCTTACTCTCAAATATCAACACAACTGCTCATGATTTTGTAAACAATCCTATAGGGAAATATCAAATAAAGAACAATAGCATTATTTTGAATTTATTTGTCTGGAGATCAAGACTGCAACTGGTATTTAAACAGCAGGAGGCAGTGTGTGTTTTACTGAGCTTCTGAGAGCTGTTATTCTGGGTTTAATTAGTATCTGGCAGTGAGGGGCCGTTGGAGGATTCACAGCATCTGCTGCTTCTGTCAGCGCAGAGTCTGTTTGTCACCTTTTCCAGCTATCTAAACGCATTCGAGCAAAACATGGTTTCCATACCACCAATCACAAAGACAGATGTTTTGTTTTGCAATCTCTCATTAACCTGTGTTAGTGAGACCCAAGTGCCAGTGCCCCGAATAGTCTTCTTCCTCCAAGTTTAACATGCTTCATCAAATTTGGCAAGTGTTGGCAACTGAATCATCAACATGATCAAAATGTTGATGGAAAAACCTGTTTTACACATTCTACTACATTTCCTTCTGTCATGTGAATGATAGTTTACTTTATAAGCAAGTTAAAGGCATTTTAGGATCATTAAAAAAAAAGTCTCCCTTCTGGTCATGGTACAAGTGTCTTTTTGCTGTGAAATTGTTACTGATTTTTATTAAGAAAATGTAAGAACTTTGATATTATTACTAACATTTACCGGGCTGAAGCAGCTTAGGTTTAATCA